AGTGCCTGCCCGCTGTAATAAAAGCTATTGCTATTGCTGCCAGATAACTAGGAATGTATAGGGAGGGCCTGGTACATATTCTCCCCATGACAACACTCATCGGCATTGGGTGGGGGCTTCAGTTAAATAATGGGAGGTGAATAGTAGTCTGCTGGGGCTATTAAGTTAAATAATATATTGGGGTACTTAGTGTACTCACTTCACCACTCATGGGCAGCATGTGGAGGTATCTTTTCAAATCTGTTACTAGTAACTGGGCAGCAATAGCTGTCCAATTGTTATTGCTGACCAGCCAGTGGCCTCAACTTGCTGCATTGTGAGTAGGGGTATTGGGCATGAAAGGTCTATTTGCCCCATTTTCCTTTCTCCCTTTGAGAACTGATAGCACCATTTTGCCACCATCGCAAGTGATGGAATGCAGGCAAGCAAAGAACTAGAATGTGTATATAGCTCATAATGCCACTACCCAGGCTTGAAGTAGCAGGTTAGACGTATGATGATCTCAGGACAGTGTTACATTGTAGATCAGTGTTCTACCTTATTGTAACATGTAGGATTACAAGAGGGAAATGGAACAGCCATACTAGTTATTGTAAAGCGCTGTGGAATAAATTGGCATTTTATAAATACCAAAAATAATACTTTTTTAGTTACTCTTGGTCTCAGATAGCCTTAGCTAGCTACCAGAATGTACGATGGGATTAGAAAATATACCTAGCAAGCCATTGTAAGATGAATAACCAGCACAATGGGAGGTGGGACTGAGTCAACATTGTCACAATCTGTCTCTTCTAAGCTTCCTTTCTCCCGTTTTTTTCTTTATCTCCTTCTTGTTCACATGTAATTACTGAACAAGTATACATGATATATGATATATTGGGTATAATATATTTTCCTATATGTATTATGTACTGTTTAAGTATTTGTAGTCACACTTTGAATGGTCCCTTTGTATCCCCTTACAATTTTCCATATAACCCAATATAGTGTTTTATATGGTCATCTATCATAACTTTACTCTGCATTATTCTAATATCATTACATATATCTATATAATATATATATATATATATATATATATAAATATATATATATATATATATATATATATATATATATATATATATATATATAGATGTGTGTATATATATATATAAATTTATATATGACCTGTTGACACGGAGTACACATATTAGCTTATTATATGTTTGTCCTGTATGTTCCCCAGATTTCGATGGGAGGATCCACTACAAAGGACTTAGTTTTAATACTAAGTCAGTGCGCATGCACAACAATTTGGTCTCATTGGTGATCCTTGGCAGCCATTTTTTTGGTGGTGCATATACAGGCACACAATACATGTTGAGTATTTGAATTCAAATTGTTGACTTGTTGCAGGGAAGGGAGTGTTAGGGAAGCCACCAGGAGTGTATTCTTGGTGCCTTACCCGAACAGGGGATTTTATGTCGTCAGCATGAGTCCAGTTGGCAATCTTTTTGGAGTATTGGTCACGTGACAACAGGAAACATATGAAATCTATTATGGACATTATTGGTGTTGTTATAAGGCGGGACTTTTGGATACTCTGAATCGGCTTTACCTTGATAATGTCACATCCTGATCATTCTGGAAATGGCTTCTGGTATCCAGTACACTTTTTACAATTCTTGTTTAGTTTTTCTTGGTTCTTCTGGTTTTCTATTCTATGTCTGGTTTTCTGGGTTCATTCCTGTATTCCGTTCCTGGATTCCTTTAAATGTTTGTTTTATTTTGCCACACCCGTTCCTTTTCCATGATTCCTTTTGTTTCAGTTTGTTCCTGCAGGCAGTTGCTCAAGTCATCTGCCCCTTTCTTGCAGGTAAGTACTATGTGTGTTGTATTATTGTTTATTTAATCATGCACATTTAGGTAGAAAGGACCCACCCTAATTGGAGTACTTTGACAGCAGTTGGTGGGCTGCATACATCTTTGCCATTTATGTATGTCTAAATCTCCAATGCTTTACATATATAGTACTTAGTTATGTCTCCTCTTGTTTTGCCTATTATATGTTGTCTTGTTTTATTTTGTATTCCCAGTCCATGTACGGTCCTGTCCTGTCCTGCCCATGTCATGTTAATGTGTCCCTTATGTATTGTGTACATGTCCTGGGTTTAGCTTCCTATCCTTCTCTGGTTCTGGGTTCTACTAGTTCTGTCTTATTTTCATGTTTGGTGCCTTTCCTAGACTTGCCTGCTTGCCTGCTGCACAGCCTCCCTATTCAGCTCCTAGGAGGTCTGCTTATTTTCTGGCTCCAAGTTCCTGGGATCCGCTGAAACTGAAGCTGCATTCTACCACATGTATGTCCTGGTATGTGGCTGCACAAAGCTGGTGCTCAACACCAGGGGGCATGCCCTGCACCAGACCCTGATAATCCACCTCCACACTGTGACTCCTACTTCAACATCAGGCATACTGGGTCCTGGTCGTCTGACTGCTGCTCAGACAGTGTCTGGGTGCCGGTCACCGGACCGCCACCCTGACAGATAAAGTCCTAGAGACGAAACCGGTCGGCATACAAGCTATCTCGGTGGTATCCTGCAACCTTGAACCTCTGACTTTTCAACTGGGGAGATCAAACACCCTGCTGACCCTTTGGTGATATTCCATCCACCAAGGAGGACTCCAACTGGGATCTGTGCTGGGACACCACTGCTGCACATGGTAGAAGGGCCTTTGAACCTTTTGATGAGCCTTTTTGAACTTTATGTTTGTGAGTGCAATAGTATCCCTTATTTTAATTGTAATTTGTGTGTGGTTTTACACTATATAATTTTTTTCAAGTAATTAAATACTAAAAAGATTCTATTTAGATCTGGATTGCTGCATTTTATACTCTGACGCAGAGGAATTTTTTTTATGTATGTAATCTTCAATTTTGGTGATCACACATACTATATATCTTCCTGCTACGGTGAACCACACTCTATTTTGCTGTTTTGTTTATATATAAGCTTAAAGTAAGATGGTCAAGGAGAGCCATAGTATTGCAAGAGCTGGCTCTGGCCATTTCCCCACTGTAATTACTGTACTTGTGTACTCCTCCCTGTATTATGCAAACAAGTGTGTCATGTTTGTTAATGTAGAAAAACTGTGTGCACATACAACAGACAAGTTCATTGGAGTTGGCTTTTACATAAAAAAGAAGCTGCCTTGTATCTTTCTGTAATGCAAAATAGGACAGGGATCCAGCTTGTATCACTAAAACATAAATATAAAATGCAACATAGTGTAATATTGTTATAGCCTTTTCAATCGTCCAACATTTCAAGGTTAAACTCATAGATTGGTTGTAAAAAGTTAGCTTTCAGAGTGCCTCTCCTGTGGTTAGGGCGGTATGTACCAGTGTTGGTAATAGCTCCGATCTGGATACCAGGAGGTTCACACGCTCCAAACGGTTTGGATGTAGTAAAGATTATTTATTGGCATATTTTTAAAATAATATAATTAAAAAAGTGGTCTGTTTCCTGGTATTAAGATCGGAGCTATTACCAACAATGGGACATACACCCTAGCCACAGGAGAGGCACCATGAAGGCTTACTTTTTACAACCAATCTGTAAGTTTAACCTTTAAGTGTTAGGCGATTGAAAAGGCTATAACAATATTACACTATGTTGCATTTCCTGACCATTATTCATGGCAGCATTTACTCATTGGTTAGCTCCTCCCCTCACAGCAGAAAGGACAGGAAACAGAACTCTGAAACTGATATATATAGATCTTCCCCCTTCCCATCAGGCAGTCTTTTTTCCTGTCCTACACAGCAGTTTGGAAGGAGTCTGCTTATGCAGGCCTAGATTTTCTTTTATGCTCACCAGGCAATATTTTTGTAGCCTTGCCGGGGTTCAGCCTCTAAGCCCTGAAGACCCAGCAAAGCACTATTGTAAGTTAGCCAGCCTGGGTACCCCCTTTAGTGACCGGGGGTTGTACCCAACCTCTCCCTCTGGGGATGTAAATGGTCCACTGCATGCCAGGGTTCAGCCTCTTATCCCTGAAGACCCAGCAACAGGCCAGCTTGGGTACCCCCTCAGAGGATGTATGTGATATACTGCCTACATGAAGCCAGGCCAGGGTTCAGCCTCTTATCCCTGAAGACCCAGCAAACAGCACATCTGTAAGAGTCGCCAGCCTGGGTACCTACTTCAGCAATCCGGAGTCTAACCTATCTCTCTCTCAGAAGTAATGACAGTGGTCCACTGCATACATGAGGCCCAGCCGAGTCTAAGCCTTTATCCCTGAAGACCTAGCAAACAGCACTTCCATAAGGTGACTACCTGGGTATACCTATTCTATGTATTCCACTTGGGTTGTGTTTACACCTTCTCCCACTGGTGATGATGAACAGCATATGGGGTACAGATGGAAGCCTATAGTTTAAACAGTTTAGGGTGTCAGTTGTTCAAATCCCCATTTGGCCGCTGAAACACAGGCCTGCAACTGTTCAGGTAAGTGCATTAGCAATTTAGATTAAAGCTAGTATAGGCACCTTGGTCTCTGTTTTTGCAGTCCCTCCCAGGTGCTTACATTAGGCTTCCTTCTAACAAATAGGTCACATTTAGGAGGTTTGTATGGTGAGCATTTAGGTAAGTTTTTACATGCTTGGTGTAAAAGAGTGCTGATAATGCAAGGAGGTATTGTGCAAAAGAGTGCTGATAATGCAATGAGGCATCGTGAAAAAGACTGCTAATAATGGATATCGTGGCTGGATAAAGTCTGCTGGAATTCCACAGCCTGAAGACAGAGTAATATCCAAGGCAAGAAAACTTTCCTGGATGTCTGATTGAAGTACACACATGGAGAGTGATAGAAATATGACAGGTTTTAAAACCTAAAAATAAGTCCACACACACACTTGTTTTTATCAAGGCATGGGGCATTGATTGCTGTTATCTGTGAATTACCGCAAATAAGCAGGCTTTTCCAGAGAGTGGCAGAATTTCTGCATATGAGATGTCTGGGCCTCAGTATCTGTACATGACCTGGTTGTGGTACAGCTTCGGTATGTTTTCAATATTTGCTCTAATGTATAAATTGGTATGCTTGATGTATTAGTGGATATGCTCTATGTATGAGTATCTGTGAGGACACCGCCTCAGTATATGTACCCATTATATGCTCAATGTATAAGTTACTATGAGGACGCTGCCTCAGTTTATGTACCCACTATAGGCTCAATGTGAGTGGTATAATATGTGAATGAAGTCCTGTTAAAACACAGCCTCAATTTATCTCCCTCATGTAAACTTAATATGTGTACAGGCATAGTGTCACTCTATAGCAGATGCAGGCTATGTATGATTACTGTTTGAACAGACTCAGTATATTTAACTGATATATCTGTGCATAAGGTGCTGTTAGAAACATCCACAATGTATGGGATTCATATATTCTGTACGCAGGTATATACACGGCCTTGGTAGATTTAATAATACAAATGATCTAAGGTCTGGGTTTTGCGCTGAAATGTAATACAGCCCATTCTAGCAAAAACAAATGCCCTGTTGCACCGGGTAATTATTGCCTACTGTGGATTTTCTATTTCAGTTTTTTAAATGAAGTAGATAAGAGAAACATTCTGCTTTTGGCTTTGTATTAGATTCCTTCTCCCACAGGTGTTTCAGGATAAGCAATTAACACATTTTACCACTTCTGATAGATTGCAGGTGTTACTGAACCTGTCTGAGTGCCGCTCCCAGGAGAGAAGGAGACCTGAATTTCCAAAATGGAGCATGGTAATGTTCAACAGAATTAATGCTTTTTTGTGTGCACACCTATGTATTTATACAGGGCTTATGCTGGTTGCAGGAGCACACATTGGGCTATTTATTGATCTCATAAGTAGGGAACTCTGAAGCAATTACCTGACTGTTTTCACTGGTATATTTCCTTTCTTTCTAAAATCTAACTTAACTGAATTTAAAAGCTGTTCATATTGGCCTTTTCTTTCACCTGATCATAACTTTAGTATCAATGTATTTTCTGCAAGCTTCTACTCTGAAAAACTCACTACTCCTGGTCTGGTTTATACTTTTTATTCAGTTTTAGCTCCATTCTTTGGAATTGGTTGAACATTCTTTAGAACTGAGTACATTTCCTTAAAGCACAATCTTTATAATTTGGAGAATGTACTGAATTTTATATTCAGTATTCTCTCTTATACCTTGGGGACCCGAAAGTTTGGCAATCCCATTTAGTATGTCAGGGGTGGCATGCTTTTGGTTCTTAAGGAGTTAATGATCAGAAAATTCTGACAGATGCCCCTGTTGTGAAGGGTAACATTTTAATTCCTTTCTGTAATAAAAGGTATTCTTTTAGGCTCATATACTCCAGGTAACTTTGATGCTGTGTATTGCAAGTATTTTAATTGACATTGGAAGATCTCTCCAGTCCCAGACCATTCTACCAGGTTTACTACCTCAGGTAAAATTCACCTGCTGCCAGAACAATAAAGGCAATCCCTGAACATGTTGTTCCATTTGGACCTTGGTTCTGATATCCATGGGGATTCTTTCAGGTGTCCTTATATCTGGAATTTGCAACCACTTGTTGAGGACAAACATTTGACTGATATGTTTTACATGGTCTCTGTACCTAGAGCGGTATAAGTTATGGTCACTCCTAACATTGCATGGATGTAATACCTGTGGATTATATGCTTGGATTGGTGTTGATATCCTGCAAACTGATTATCACTATAGGCTCTGCCATAGTACTTCTTCACTATCTAAAGATCAGGTAAGAGTAAGTATGCGGTTGTTTGTTCTCCTAAGGATAACAGGATATCTCCTACTATCCTGCTTATTATGTGTCTGTTGCCACAAAGTATAATGTGCCTCTGGTTACCACCTTCCCATCAGTATCCTGCCTATTCCATATCTCCTATTATATTGCACATCAGTCTCTAATAAATTTGACTATACAGTTTAGCATATTCTGTACTATTTACAATATGTTTATATTTGAATGTAGGTACTGACGTGGTTGGCCTACTTATAATTTAATAGTTTCCACAATTTCTACGGCTCATACCGATATTTCTTTTTGTCTTCATCTAATCTGTATATGATTCCTCTTGCCTTTGCCTAGGTTTATACCTCTCCTGTGACTGATCATTGTTGTATCAATTCATCCACAGTGTGAGGTATTGTTGTGAGTCTGGTTTTGCAATATATAGTCATTATTGTGCTCTGATTTGTTTCCTGTATCTACAGGTAAGTAAAATACATCCAGAAAGTAGTAGGATTCTCCCAATGTTTAATAGCATGGTGTGACTGTTCTCATCCAATATTATCTGCTTGTTCCAGTATGATATCTGGAAAAAGCAGCCTTTATCAAGGTTTTTTGCACCTATACAAATACAAGATAAGCACACAAAGAGACATCAATATTCATGTGCGGTATTCTCAGTGAGTAGTATGCTGGTCAGCGGTCCCACCACATCTTCACATTACAAGGTAAGCACACACAGGGGAGCCTCCAATAGTGACTTCATACGTCACTTGGCTATTCTATATTAAAGATGATTAAATAAGAGTACATATTCAGATCGTATAAAGAAAGATAAATTAAAAACATACAGGGATATTCAGTAATTGTCAGGAATTCAAAGTTAATTTCAAGTTTAAGTCCAAATTGGAAGCATAACTTACCGGGAGAATTTTTCTAGCTTGACTATTTTGGCCTTAAATTTGTAATTTATTTTAAATTTCCAACAATTCTCATTTTAGTAAATAACTCAGATAGACACACATGCTATTTAGATACAGCTTGCAAGACATTGCATTTTGAACTAGACAAAGCTGAGCCAAAGGACACATGACCCCCAGCTGATAAATTACATTTTGCAAAATTCTTTGACAGTTGTGGCTTGGCAAAGAATTATGGGATTTGTGGTATATCAACCTCCAGGAAGCCACAGATCAACACTCAGATATAAAGGATTTGACGTTGTTTTATTAATGGTTACTCCTTCGGTTACTACTATGAACAACTAATTCAGATATCTTGATAGCAACATTTTCTAATGTAAGGCACCCGAGGTTGTTGCATTGATCGATTGAACTGCAGTAAGACATCCCTTAATAGATTGTAACAGATGAGTGTTTTCAAGTCAGTGAAATGATCTATTGTTTCTGGATATCATGGGGAAGATTAAGAAAGTATCCTTAATATCCAAAGGTGGCATTCATAACTGTCATCTTTCCTACGCATATAATAATTCACATGTTGCTATCTTATTAACCTCTGTTCAATAGTTTACATGTTATTAATCTATTTGATATTTATATAATTTTCCTTCTAGAATGCAATGGTTTTCTATTAAATACGTGGAAATCTTGAAGCAAATAAATTGATCCGGTGCACAGCGAATGATTCTCAATGCAGATTCTGCAGTAATTATCTGCCCCATGTTTACGTAGATGAAAGTGAAAAACTGTCTCATAAGTGAAGTGATAAAAAATGAAGACTATTAAACAAGAGTTATGCTCCTGAATCATAAACGAATATGCCTAATTGCCTTAAGAGACTGTTTGTCATTATATCTATCATTCCTATTCATATGCAGCCTTGGTAAGGTGGGCAGATTCTCAATGACAGAGACCTTGGCTACATCTTGTCTTGGCTACATGGATATGCCATTATTGTACACCTGCCACCCAAGTGACAGTATAGCAGGTCCAGCACGGATGGTGTCCAAACCTTGCAAACCTTGTAACAAATTCACATTAGATGAAAACGTATAACAATAAGTTGTTGGATCAGCGCTTTGTGACCAGTAGAGAGCTAGGATAAATGGAGAGTGGACCGCAACCTAAAGGGTATGATGTTTCCTCACAGACCATCAAAAGAAAATACAAATGTAAAAACAGGAATTATAGGTCGCACCACAAAAATGATATGATATCATAAAATCAATGCGTACTTACATAAAGTTCATAAATAAGAACAGAGTCCTAGTTAAAAGGTATATGGATAAAAATAGTCTAAGCTGATTGAAGAGATGAATAAGTTCGGTAGATCTTATAGGTGAGCGCACTGAATCAAAAAGATCTTTCCAACACTGATGACATACAGAGTTGCTAATGCCACTTTTAGATTATTGATATATAAACCTTAACCCGTTAAGGACCAAACTTCTGGAATAAAAGGGAATCATGACATGTCACACGTCATGTGTCCTTAAGGGGTTAAAGGGACACTATAGGCTCCCATACCACTTTAGCTCCCAATTTGGATTAAGCTCATTAAAGTGGTCTGGGTGCAGTATCCCTGTCTCCTTAGTCCTGCAATGTAAAACATTGAAGCTTTGTCTACCATACAGCAACTCTGGGAGTTTACCGGACTCTGTGTCTCATTAAATGACACTAGATGTCCTCACACTTACGCTCACCGCACATGCACATGCACATTAGGTCCACCGTCAGATAACGTCAGAGGAGGCAAAGCACCGACCCAGCACCAAAGGACATCAGCTCTGGAATCAGGTAAGTGACTAAATGGTTTTTAACCCTTTATATGCTGAGGGGGAGGGAAGCACCGCGGGGCCTATAGTGTTAGGAATATTTGTGTTCTTAACACTATAGAATTCTTTTAACTCTGCTGTACTAGATTGAACTTTGAATGCTGATGTCTTAAACCATAGATACTCACAAAACCGAGAACCTAAAAACAAGATGGAAAGCAACAGAGTCAAATGTTCTCATGTCATGGGTATTATTGCTCACAAAATAAATATAAAAATAAGAAACATTGTTCCAGATAAAATATTAGTAACATTAACAGATTATTGATTTTTCAGCTCTGTTAGCTGTTTTGTATGCTTACTACAATTTATATATATTTTTTTTTAAATTCAATGTTTTTATACTTAATAGTTGTTTTATATTACACAAAATATACATCTCACAAGGTTATTCACTAAACACTGGATTGTGTCTGAATTTACAAAATCCAGTGAAAATGACCAAATTCTGCCTGCAATGGCAATTCTCAGATTTACTAAAGCCAAATATGGTCAAAATTAATTCTCCCTGAGTGAATATGCAGCAATCAGTGTCCGGACAAAGATTAGTGCTTTAGCTTCCGAATACTATACAAAGTACAGGTTTCAAACTGAATATAAACCAAATGCATGCAGCAAGACGCACATTCACAAATTGTTGTTCACTTGTTTTCATGCATGCGATCATTTTATGATCTATTTGCAGCTAGTGGTAAAATAGTTAAATAACCCACAGCCAGGGCCGTCTTTAATAACGAATGG